TTAGAGGATTAAAATTTATATTTTAAATTTTTAGAGATCAAAATAAAATAATTTAAAAATTATAAAAAAAACTTAAGTCATAGTAAATGAATAATGAATTGCGAGAGAATGAACGCTGAAAGTCAATCACTGTTCAAAACTATCGCTTTTTTTCAGTTTCTCTGTAATATCCCAACCCAAAAGGGGAAAACTTGAGAGCTAGAAATAGAGGAACAATAATGAAATATAGACACAGAAATAAAATAAACTCACCTCCATCAATGTGAATGCACGAGGAAACAAATGAAATTATTAGCTCTCGACGAGAGTGACAACGACGTCGTAGGATCTCCAGATAAAGTGGGTGTTACGCGTCGCCATGTGGATGGATGTGTTTTATAGACGTGTCCAAACGTTGCTTCGCTGCAGCTTGAGCGTGTGAATATGTAGACTGGCCCAATCTTAAAGACGAGAGGGCGGCATTCGCATTTTTGTGGATCAATACGTGGTGTGTACCGATAAGAAAAGGAAGGCTGTGGTGGCTTTTATTGGTGCTGTAACCTTGTACTTTGATGACGACATACATGGTTGATGCACGTCTGCCCCACTTCTCATCTGATTCACATTCTTTTATTGTTTTTTATTAGGGGTCACTACTCCCTGGTAGGAAATTTAGGCCGCCCAAAACTTGACTTTTATGGGGATTTACCTACACTAATTATCACGAAGAAGAAGAAGAAACATTGTGGTGATATTGCTTGGAATGAACTGTAGTATCTCAATTCAATCCAAGGAATTGATCCAATAGAGCACGTGGCATTGAGTTTACAGTGCACTTATCAAGTTGAAAACGGGCATCAAACTTTAATGTAAACATATGGGTATTTAAGATATAAATAAATAAATATTGGGTTTTACTCATATTTGAACCTCATAGGATTTTACACATTTAGATTTTATATTTTTTAAAAAATACTATATTCTTTTAGATTCGATTAAAACTCTTTATTATTTCGAACTTTTTATTAAAATGCCACCAATTAGCAATTGACACGTGACATTATAAAGTTAAAAATATTGAAAAATAGAGATGGTATATCAATCACAAATTAATGACGTTATAATGAAGGACTAAAAGTAAGAAATTTCGAAAAATGTATGGTCTCAATTAAATTAAAAAAAAATCTTAAATGAAAAATTCAAAAAATATAAAATCCAATAAATATATATTATTTTAATTTTAAAATCACACCATGTGTGTAAAATTTATGGCATTACTACACTACGATACCATGTACATTGTCATCACTTAATACTCTATTCAAATTGAGTGCTTTTAAAAATTATCAAAATTATATTGATGTTTAAATTGTCGGTACTTTATGCTTTTGTCTATTTTAATGTTTTTTTTTCTGTTTTTCATTTTTGTTTTCAAATTGTTGGAAATAAAAAAAAAATTGTTTGTTTTAAGAAAAAGTAAAACCGAAAACCATTATTATAAATTTTGAAAATCATTTTTGTTTGGTTTTGAATAAGTTTGACAACCGATCGTGGATTCTTAAGTTTTTTTAAGATAGAAACAAAAACAAATGAATTTTCTATTTTTGCTTTTAAGTTCTTGAAAACAAAGAAAAAAACAAAAAACAAAAAAAAGTAATCTATACCAAAAAAAACTCTTAAATTTCTGAAAAATGCATGCATTGTGAGATCATGAATTGATTTCGCCATCATTTTAATTTTTTTCATACGAGAAACTGTTGTAATAGTGGATTTTTTTTTTAAATTTCATATTTTGATTGGAAAAAATGCGTTATCATAGATGAAGTATTGATAATTATGTTCGGAATTATTTTCGTTTGTATTTTCTAACCATTTGATTCTATTTTGAGTATTAAACTTGTCCGGACATAATTATGTCCAAAGTTATATTTACACTTTGACATAGTTATAGTCAATTGTAAGTAAAAAATGTTGTAGAATTTAATTGCAATTAAATTTAATTTTTGCTCTAACTAGATTTTTCCTTTCCTCACCTTATAGTCGGGTTTAATATAAATGTGTGTCGTCTCATCGTTTGCATAGTACATAGAGTTGTCCCTTATTTTGATTTTATTGATATTGATTATATATTGAATTAAACGATAATAATATATATATTATAAAAAAACACTAAAAGAGAATGACAAAAGAAAAATAAATAATTAATAAATAACAAGTTTCTTTGGCCATAGCACTATTTTTCCATACTCATTTACATTATTTATTTGATATTATTGTAACTTTTAGCATTTATTAAAATTTTTATAATAACATTAGTGTGATCTTTATTGAGTCATTTAATATACGAGCTTTTATCAATGTTTCAATTTAGCCCCTATTTTTCATAAATTTTGTGTTTCGATTTTCAACTTTTATTTATATCGTAATTTGACCTTTATTGCAACTATTAGAGTCAAACTAGTCTTTAGCTTTGTTAGTTAGAGTTGAACTAGACTTTAGCCTTGTTTCAATTTGTTACCTAGAGATATGAACAATCCATGTTCTTTAGGAATAAGTTGTTTATTTCCTAGTCAATTACCACGTTAATAGGCATGTAAAACGTGGGTCGCATTTTATTTTTATTATTCTTGTAAAGCTATATATATGGCCACATCAATTGTTCAATAAAAACAAGTTCTTCTTCTTTTAAATCCTATTCTATCACAAAGAATTCTTAACAAGTGGTATCATAGCCCCATTATAAGGGCCTAATTGAATACTAAGGAGCGAGCAGTCTTCACGGTGTTTAATGGTGAGAATATGATGATCGAGAATGGATTTGTGCAACCGACCATTCCAAAATTTGATGGGCATTACAATCACCGGTGTATGCTCATGGAGAATTTCATGCGATTAAAAGAATATTGGAGTATAATAGAAAATTGAATTTTTACAATAGCAAAAGGAGTTCGACTTAATGAAGCATAAAAAAAGACAATTGATGTTGCAAGATTGAAAGATATGAAGGTGATGAATTATCTTTTCCAAGCTATAGATAGATTAATTTTGGAAACCATCTTAAACAAAGATACAACTAAAAGCATTTGGGACTCCTTAAAGCAAAAGTATAAAGGGATAACATAAGTGCAATGAGCACAACGGCAAGCTCTTTAAAAAGAGTTTGAGATGCTAGCCATGAAGGAGGAGGAGTCCGTAAATGAGTATTTTGCTCGCACTCTTACTATAGTTAACAAGTTAAGAGTCAATAAGGTAAAGATAGACGGTGTAGTAGTCATCGAGAAAATACCGAGATCTATGACATCCAAGTTCAATTATGTGGTGTGTTCTATTAAGGAGTCAAATGATTTGGATGCTCTAACCATTGATGAATTATAAAGTAGCCTTCAGTACATGAGCAATGTATGAAACCTCATGTTGTAGAAGAGCAAGCATCGAAGGTTACTTTTGAAAAGTCTTCGGGAGGAAGAGGACGAGGTCGTGGTGGAATGCGAGGATGAGGAAGAGGTGGAGGCAAGTGTATTTTTGACAAATCTAGTGTTAAATGTTATTACTATCGTAAGCTTGGACACATTCGAGTATGAATGTCCAAACAAGGAGTTTGATACAAAAGCAAATTATGTGGAAAGCAGTGAAGAAATGTTGTTGATGGCATGTATGAATGATAAAGAAGTCGACAACGAAGAATTATGGTTTCTAGACTCTAGATGTAGCAATCATATATGTGGCAAGCAAGAGTTTTTTTATATCCTTGATGAAAATTTCGGGGAGAAGGTGAGATTGGGAGATAATTCAAGCTTGAATGTGATGAAAAAAAGGCAATGTGCGAATGCTGATAAATGATATTATACACATCATTACTTGTGTATTTTATGTTCCGAGGATTGAAAAACGACTTACTAAGCATTGGTCGGCTAAGTGAGAAGGGACTTGAAATCCTTATACAACAAGGAGCATGCAAAATTTATCATCCCGAGAAAGAGCTAATTATGGAGATTACAATGTCCTCGAATCGAATGTTCAAGCTATTTGTTGTAATACTAAATGAGGCAACTAGCTTAAATTCTTTCATGGAAGATCCAGCTCAACTTTGGCACTTGTAGATATGGTTATCTAAGCTTCAATGACTTGAACATTCTTCAACAAAAATGAGTGGTGAGAGAACTATCGTGTCTTAAAATTTCATCAAAATTATGTCAAGATTGCTCGGTGGGCAAACATCAAAAAAATCCATTTCCTCAGAAAGTACATGAAGAGCTTTTCATATTCTTAAGCCGGTGCATACCGATATATATAAATATAAATATATATATATATATATATATACACCAATCAGCTCTATATCTATTAGTAATAAAAGATATATGATTAGTTTCATTGATGACTATAGTTGTAAAGTTTGGGTTTATTTTTTGGTTGAGAAATTAGAAGCACTTATTACTTTTAAAAAATATAAGAATCGAGTTGAAAAAAATGGATTAGCTACAAAAGGTCTTCGTATCGACCGTGGGGGTGAATTTAAATCACTTTAATTCATTAATTTTTACGGTAAGAATTATACTCAAAGATAACTAACGACTACATACACCCCTCAACAAAATGGTGCAGCGAACGAAAGAATCGAATAATCATGAACATGGTTCGGAGCATGCTTTCGAGAAAGAAGATTCCCAAAGCATTCGGCTTGAAGTTGTTAATTGGACAATCCATATTCTCAATAGGTGTCCAACACTTATAATGAAGAACAAAACCCCAAAAGAAGCTTGGAGCGAATCTAAACCATCGGTGGCTTACTTGAGAATGTTTGGATGTGTATCTCATGTTCATATTCCCGATTACAAAAAGACTAAGCTTGATGGTAAGAGTGTAAGATGTGTTTTTCTTAGAGGAAGTGAGGAGTCAAAAGCATATGATCCTATCTCTTAGAAGATCATAATAAATAAAGATGTGGTTTTTGAAGAAGACAATAGTTGGGATTTGGATAAAAAGTCATAAGGAAAGCTATTTTGGTTGACTTGAATTAGGGCGACAATGACAAAAAATCAAATGCTACCGATGGAAATAGTGATAAAACTGAAATTGATGAACATAGCCATACTAAGAGAGTAGCATCAAATGAAGAAAATTCATCTAGCTCGAGCGAAGATTCCTCATTTGAATCTTATGAACGAGAGGACAATGAAGTAACCAACTTGGATGAGAGATTATGAAAGTGTGGAATGATTATCGGAGGAAGAAGATGCATTAAATTTAGTCATGTTTGCAACAAATGATCCAATTTTATTTGAAGAGGCACAAAAGATGTAAAGTGGAGAACAACAATGGATACGGAGATTGAAGCTCTACAAAAAAATGATACTTGGGAATTGATAAATTTTCCTACTAGAGCAAAAAGGTTGGTGTGAAATGGGTGTATAAGAATAAACTCAATGAAAATGGTAAGGTGAAAAAGTATAAAGTGTGTTTGGTTGCGACGGTTTACACCTAAAAACATGGTGTAAACCATACTGAAGTTTTTACATCGTCACATGATTAGAAACAATTCGATTAGTAATTTTTCTTGAAGCTCAAAAAGGGTGGAGAATTCTTCAACTAGATGTAAAGTCATCCTTTCTCTATAGAGAACTTAGTGAAGGAGTTTTCATTGAGCAACATCCTGGTTATGAAAAAAAGAGTCTGAATGGAAAGTTTACAAGCTAAAGAAAGCTTTATATAAACTAAAACAGGATCTACGAGCTTGGTGTAATTGGATAGAGTCATATTTTACTAAAGAAGGTTTCAAGCGATGCTCGTATAAGCATGCTTTGTTTGTTAAAGTAGGAGAAGGAGGTAAAATTTTGATTGTTTATCTCTATGTATATGACTTGATTTTTATGAGCAATGATGAGCATATGTTTGTTGAATTTAAAAATCCTATGCATGAGTTTGACATGACGGATCTTGGATAAATGAGATATTTTCTTGACATAAAAGTACTTTAAAATCAAGAGGGTATTTTCATTTGTCAAACGATACATGCCTAGGAGGTGTTAAAAAGGTTTGATATGGATAAATGCAATTCAATTCATAATCCAATTGTTTTAGGGTGCAAACTCACGAGGGATGAGAACGGAGTAAGGGTGGGTAGCGGTTGCTACAATGAAGTAATTGGCGATCTAATGTATTTGATCGCTACCCGATTTGATATTTTGTTTGTCATGAGTCTTTTAAATAGGTATATGGATCGTCCCATAGAGCTTCATCTCTAAGCTTCCAAGAGAGTGTTGAGATATTTAAAAGGAATTCTTGAATTTGGGATATTCTACGGAAAGGAAGGAGATGAGGAGCTGGTTGTTTATACGGATAGTGATTATACTTGAAGATTTGGATGATAAAAGGAGTACTTCAATTTATATTTTTCTATTAAATTCGGGAGTCTGTTTCTTAGTCATTAAATAAATAACCAATAATCACTTTGTCTACCACTGAAGCTGAATTTATTACAGTGGCTTCATGTGCTTGTCAAACGAGTTTGGTTAAGGAGAATTTTGAAGAGTTTTAATCATGTTCAAAGTGGTGGCACAACGATTTTTGTGACAATAGTTCAGCTATTAAGCTTTCAAAGAATCTTGTATTACATGGTCGAAGCAAGCACATAGACGTTAGATTTCACTTTCTTCGTGAGCTTACTAAAGATGGAGTTGTAAAGCTAGTCTACTGTCTACTCAAGAACAAGTTGTAGACATAATGATCAAGCCATTAAAGCTTGATTTGGTCGTGAAGTTTAGAGGTCTATTGGGGGTATGTATAGATCCAAATATAAATTGAATAGAATTGATATTCGGTTTAAGAGAGGACGTTGAAAGCTGTTACGGTTGAACTAGTCTTTAGTTTTGTTAGTTAGATTTGAACTAGACTTTAGTCTTGTTTCAATTTGTTACTTAAAGATGTGAACAATCCGTATTCTTTAGGAATAAGTTGTTTGTTTCGTAGCCAATTACTACGTTAATAGGCATAAAAAACGTGGGTCGTGCTTTATTTTTGTTATTCTTATAAGGCTATACGTATAGCCACATCGGTTGTTCAATAAAAACAATTTTTTCTTCTTCTAACTCCTATTTTATCACGAGAGAATTCTTAACATGAAGCTAGAGAGAAACAAAAATAAAAAAGAGAGAAAGCCACGACGAGATCTATTTTGACCACTTTGATCATTAATCTCGGTTTTAATTTGTTTAGTTTAGAAATGAGAGTTTGTTTTTGTAATCTCAAATTATGAAACAATTTTAGATATGAGATCGGGACCTCAAAATATTTTTAAATTTTTTGAATTTGATTTAATTTTTGGGTTTTTTTATGCATTAAAATGAGTTTAAAACAAAAATTTTTAGCTAATATCGGTGACCCTCGAGTGTTTTGGGAAAAAATAATTATGAAATTAGTTTCAAAAGATCGAAATATAGTGCCTCAATTTTGCAACGAGGTTTACAAGATCATAACTTCGCCAAAAATTATAAGAGGTCGGCACATCTTCTCCTATGCATTGTGCGGACAACACGTCATCCACCTATTTTTTTTTTAAGAACTAGTCCGTTCACGTGATAATGCTTAAAACATATGTTTGAATTGCTAAATTCCCCTACATTTTACTAGTTTGAGATGTCTAAATTATAAAACTTAAGTGCCTTTTGTATTTTATGTGCTAGGTGTGGAGCCGATTGAAAAATAGTGTTAAAAAGAGTTATATAAAGAGAATTTGCGATCGAGCCAATTTAGCTACTTGGAAAACACAAGAAGTGTGGGTACGTTAAGTTTATTAGCGTGGCCACGCTAATACGACGAACATAGAAGCATAAGGACACGAAGGCGTGGGCACGTTGCAATTTGATGCGGGCACGCTGAAATCTACGAAACGGACAACGGATCGTAGAAAGAAATAAAACTTACATGATTTGCGAGAAAAGACGCCGACCTACCAAAAGAAGAGAGAATATTATATACCCTTTTTGGGAAATAGACACCTTGTATATATAGAAACCTAACGGACTAGGGCAAAAAAACTTTTAGGTATTATTCTCATAGGAGGCAACCTTATTTCTCTCTCTCTCAGCTATGGTGGTCGCCATGAGCAACTAGACTCTTCTCCTTAGTGAAGGTAACTGAAGCTTTTGGAAATCAAAGATTTTGAGGTGCTTAAACATTAATGTAAATCGGTTTATTTATTTTAAGTATTGAACTTTCTTCTATGCTTATTTTCATGATTATTTGGGTTAATTTCTAACGTGTACGGTTAGTTTATTAGCTTAGATAATCTATAGCTAGATCGACTATTGAATCCGTAATTGTTCAATCCCTTTGATTTGTGTAGCAACTAGGAGTGTATGGTTTCGTTGCATCGAAACTAATGACTCTTAGGAGGATTGTTCAACTAGATTAAATGCAACCACATGTGTTGTGTTGTCTTGCTTTGTGGATCTTTCTAATACATAAAGCCATTGTTTGATTAAATATTAGATCGTATCTAGGGTTGTTAAATAATGAGAGATGATTATAATACATGTTTCTAGTTGGCTAATCATAAGGAAAGATTGATTTCAATATCACAATAAATATTTGAATGGAAATCGATATTTCATGCACCAAGGATAAATCTCAAGTTTCAAAAGTGGATGTTACCCGAACCAAGGTTTGTTTACTTGAATATTTACTTTAAACTCATTTTCTAAATTCAATTTGTTTAGTTTCGGTTATACCTCAATCAAATCAAAACCCCCTTTTTATTTATTTTATGTTTCTTCAGACTTGTGACGACTAACGCGATTGAATTCCTTGTGCGATTGATCCCTACTCTCCCTTACTACATTTATGTTATAGAAGCTTAAGAGTTTAATTTGGGTGCACACGACAAGCACAACTACCAAATTTTGGCACCGTTACTGGGGAGTTCACGGTTGTTTATATACGTTACAAGGTCTAGCGACGCTGAAAACTTGCTATTTGACCTAGAAATAGAACACACGACAGAAGTCTTAGGAAGGCCACGCAATAGCGGCGTGCCCACGCCATTACTCGGCGAGATAGAACGATAAACGGAGCAACAAATAGAGCGACCAACACCTGTTGCAATCATGGAGGATGAACACGCAAACGGAACACTCGGAGAGCTTCGTCGCCTCGACTTGGATCGGCAACCTCATTGCATCAACTTTCCTAACTTTGCTGCCAACACTACATTTGAATGGAAATCCGAGTTGATACATCTTTTGCCTAGCTTTTGAGGATCAACGGGTGAAGGTCCTCATAAACATTTGAAAGAGTTCCATGTGGTGTGCTCGGGTATGAAACCGAATGGAGTTATCGAAGAGCAAATCAAGCCGAGGGCATTTCCTTTCTCTTTGAAGGATGATGCCCAATATTGGCTCTATTACTTGCTCGTTGGAAGCATAACTACTTGGCTCGAAATGAAGAGGTTATTCTTGAAAAAATTCTTTCCAGACCTCGAGAGCGACCAATATAAGAAAAGAGATTTGTGGCATTAGGCGACAGAATGGAGAGTCATTATATGAATATTGGGAACGTTTTAAAAAGCTTTGTGCAAGCTGCCTACACCACCAAATCACAAATCAGTTCGCTTATCCAATACTTTTATGAAGGACTTTTGCCATCCGATCGAAACATAATTGATGCGGCGATGGTGCTTTAGTCGACAAAACACCCGAAGAAGCTAGAACTTTGATAGCAAACATGGCATCAAACACATAGCTATTTGGAACCGGATACGACTATGCCACTCGACAAGTAAATGAGGTAAGTACTTCTTCCCTTGAAAAGCGTTTTGATGACCTTACTTGCTCTTGTGCGTCAATTGGCGACGGGAAAAATAGAAATGGCAAAGGCTTGTGGAATTTGTTCGGTGTTGAGACATGCAACGAACATGTGTCCGACTTTCCAAGATGATAACCTTGAACAAGCAAATGTCAGCTGGAGGGTTCCCAAGACCGCCACAACAAAATTATAACCCTTTTTCCAACACATACAACTCGGGTTGGAGGGACCACCCCAACTTTCGCTATGGCAATGCCCTAATGAATTAGCCCACTAATAATTTTCAGCCATTCAAGCAACGAGTACCCTCCTAAACGACGACCACGGGCTCAAACTTCCGATTCGGGTATGTCTCTTGAAGATATTGTCAAAACCTTAG